GGAAGAGATCGAGATTAGAAACAGATTTTGTTTTTGAGGCGGAGTCTTGCTCTGTTGCCCAGGCTGGAGTGCTGTGGCACTATCTCGCCTCACTGCAACCTCTGCCACCTGGGTTCGAGCAGTTCTTCCTGCCTCATCCTCCTGAGTAGCTGGGATTATAGGCGCCTGGCACCAAGCCCCACTAATTTTTGTATTTTTAGTAGAGACGGGGTTTTGCCATGTTGGCCAGGCTGGTCTCAAACTCCTGACCTCAGGTGATCTGTTCACCTCGGCCTCCCAAAGTGCTGGGATTACAGACGTGAGCCACCATGCCCGGCCTACAAACAGATTATTACTAGACAATATGATAGCAATTTGAAGGAAAAGGTAGTGTTTGAGCTAGCACTTATTAAGGAAAAGTTCAATAGAAAGAAAAAAGAGAAATGGGCTGGAGAAAATAGCAAGGGCACAAAACTTCTGGTGGGGGTGGCAGAGTAGACAATGTGCTGGAAGAGAGGAGCTCATCTGAGGTTGGAGTGGTCGTGCGCTGTCTGTTATTCAGTGTTACCTTTCTTGCAGGGAGTCTGGGGCCAGAGCTGGTGACAGCGTGTGAAGTTACAGTACTCTGTACTCTGTTGCTGTGCCCACTGCCACTACCTTTGAACTTTTGTTTTCCCACTGGGAAGGTGGACAGCCTCTTCTATTTCGTGGGATCAAAGCCTGTCCTGAGTACAAGGTGCTTGAAAACTACCATTGACACTTCAACAGCTGCAAAATAACACTGATTGCAAGGATCCAACAATGTCTCTGCTGTATGGTCCTTTAACTCTTTATTTTTATGCTGAGACCTGGCTTAGAGTGTTCATTCTTGCATAGATCAATGTTGCTTTGTGGTAGCAATTCAGTTTAATAACACGCTCCCCTGCCCAATACCATCTGCAGATGTTAATAAATGTTCTCAAGGAATTTTTAGGATGCTGAAGATGATGATCAAGATCTCAAAATCATTTCATTGATTGAGCACCTACTATGTGTCAGGCATTGGATACATAGGACAAAGAAGGAAGTTGGATATAGTGCATGTCTTCATTGAATTGGTAATCCAATGGGCGATCAGACAAGTAAATACAGTGTGCTAAGAGCTGTGATGGGCGAAGGTACAGAGTTCTGTGAGAATACATCGAAGAAGCACCTCACCCATACTAGGGGATCAGGGAAAGCTTTCTGGAAAAGGCTGCAGAAACCAGATAGCCTGGTGAAGAGGAGTAGGGAGGAAGTAATCAAGGCAGAGGAAACAAAGTGTTGGAGAGACTGAACACAAGGGAAGAATGGCTTGTTAGAGAAACTGGCAGAAGTTACTGGCCTAGAACAGAGAGAGCCTGGAGAGTTTTTACCAAGGGACCCACGGCAAGATGGAAAAGGGATTAAAGGAGGTAAAGACTGGCAGCAGAAAGACCAGTTGTGATAATCATGGTGTAAAAGACAAATAACCAATGTCCTCAGTACACTGACTTTCAAAATTCACTTCTCTCTCAATCCGCCAACCCAGACATCCTGGTCTCCCTAGGACCAAATACAGCTACAGTCACATGTCACTTAATAGGGATACCTTCTGAAAAAATGTGGTGTTAGGCAATTTCATTGTTGCGTGAATACCAGAGTGTACTTACACAAAGCTAGATGATGTGTGTGTGTATATGCATCTATATATGTATTCACATGGAAAACCAAATTCCCAACATCATTACTGAATATCAGTCCTTCCCCTACTTCAGGAGTCTCCAGTCCCCAGACTGCAGACTGGTACCTGTCGAGGGCTGTTAGGAACTGGGCTGCACAGCAGTAGGTGAGCGGCGGGAGAGTGAGCATTACTGCCTGAGCTCCACTTTGTGTCAGATCAGCAGCAGCATTAGATTCTCATAGTAGCGTGAACCCTATTGTGAGCTCCGCATGTGAGGGATCTAGGTTGTGCACACTTTATGAGAATCTAATGCCTGATGATCCAACCAAGAGGAAACAATTTCATCCCAAAACCATCTCTCCCCGCGACGCCCATTTGTGGAAAAATTGCCCTCTACAAAACTCGTCTGTGGTGCCAGAAAGATTGAGGACCGCTGCCCTACTTGATCTATAATGCCAATGTTTAGTGCTGTGTATCAGGTTTCTATGTACTTCATTATAAAATGGAATCTTGCTCTGTCACCCAGACTGGAGTGCAATGGCGTGATCTTGTCTCACTGCAACCTCCTTCCTCCTCCTGGGTTCAAGCAATTCTTTTGCCTCAGCCTCCCAAGTAGCTGGGATTACAAGTGTGCGCCACTATGCCTGCTAAATTTTTGTATTTTTAGTAGAGATGGGGTTTCACCATATTGGCCAGGCTGGTCTCAAACTCCTGCCTCAAATGATCCACCCACCTCGGCCTCCCAAAGTGCTGGGATTATAGGCATGAGCCACCATCTTGTATCTTATGGGACCACCATCATATATGCAGTCCATTGTTGACCAAAACACCATTATGCAGTTCATGACTCTATTTAAAAAGTAAAGAAAAATCCTATTTGAAGGAAATATTACATGCAAAAAAAAAAAAAAAATCTATTGTTCCTATTACTCATGCAGATGGCCCTTTAAAGCCATGGTCCCCAAGTATGACTGTTATGTTCTTTGCCAGAAATAAACCTGTGCAAGGTGTACTCTCTAGTCTCTGTACATGAAGTAAGAGTCATTCTGTATAACCTGCAGCTTGATGCTGTGTTTTGTGCATTTTAGATGGGAACTGAAGAGCTCAAAATGACATGAGGTTGAGCTGTTTCTCATTTAGTTTAGCTTGCCATGATTCCAGTAGCCTTTCTTCCTGCTTGCCCAAGCCATTCATGAAAGCAAAACCCACACAAGATACAGGAGCTCAGAATAAAAGGGGTTCGAGTGGGCATGTTATCTCCCACTTCCCCAACTAAGGTACAAATGGTTATTTTTCTTTTTTTCACTTCCTTGGTAATTTTTTTTTTTTTCAAACACTGGATACCAGGCATTTCATACTTAAGCCCTGAAGTCTGGGAATGTGATTTCTAACAATTTTATGTTTGGAGTTCTTAGGCTTATGTTTACCTGCTTACATAAGAGGTATTTCACTTACAAAACTAACTACAGATGTGATCATTGCTGTAGTAGTCATCGTATTTTATTAAGAAATATTATGTACCTGCTCTGTGCAGTACTAGGTATGTGGAAGGTTTTTAGACAAAAATAAATAAATAAGACCTGGTCCCTGCTTTCAGAAACTTAATTTAAAACAGAGCAGAATCAAAGTACTAATGCCTTTTTCGTTGTGTCATCCAAGGAAGACACGAACAATTGGTCACAGCACTGTTTCCTACTGAAACCAGAATCAGCCTCAGAATCCTCCTCAACACAGCATTCCAGACAACCTATGAATAGATAATTCATCTTCCTGGCCGGGCACGGTGGCTCACGCCTGTAATCCCAGCACTTTGGGAGGCTGAGGTGGGCAGATCACAAGATCAGGAGTTCGAGACCAGCCTGGCCAATATGGTGAAACCCTGTCTCTACTGAAAATACAAAAATTAGCCAGGCGTGGTAGATGCCTGTAGTCCCAGCTACTCGGGAGGCTAAGGCAGGAGAATCGCTTGAACCAAGGAGGCAGAGGTTGCATTGAGCTGAGATCGCACCACTGCACTTCAGCCTGGGCGACATAAATAAATAAAAATAAAACATTAAAAATTCATCTTCCATCCTTAATTTTTAAAAAATAGATGCATTCCCAAAAATCTTGGGTACTTGCCTTGGTTTTTATTGCTTTGTCTTTTGCTAGTTTTTAAAGAAATGACATGATTTATTTCTTTAAAAAAGACAAAGCAATATGAATATGGAAACCCAAGAACCTCCCAAGAAAACAACATATGGTAATGTGGTTTTTCAAGAAGTTGAAACTTGAAACATTCAGTTCATGTACATAATTAGAGAAGCCATTCCCAATACTTGCCACTATAAACACGTTTTTCTTGGTTACTTCTAGGATGATTGCCCTCGTACTTTATTATTTGTATAAACTAGTTTCAGTGCTATAAAGCTACCAGCTGATAGTGAATAATAACCACATTTTCAAGTTTCCTGGCACCGGGGCTTCATTCATGGCTGCTCGGGTCACCTGCTTTGGTAGAGATCGTGTGTCTTCCTGGTGCTGACTTATTCAACATCACCATCATTGATTATTTCATGGCCACCTGAGTCTTGAGCTGTCTTCTCAATCCACATGCTTTCCATAGGACTGCATCAAAGGCCAGAGTTTCAGCTATATATATTGATAAATCCAAGTGTGTATAGTAAGACTCCTCCTAAATGCTAGACCCTTAATTTCAACTGTTTATGGGCACTTCTACCAGAGTGATTGGAGCTAACATAAACATCTAACAAACAGTTGTGGCCAGAGGGTGTGCTAAGAGTGTCACAATCATTACTTAATTTAACCTTTCCAACAACCCTTAGAAGTTTTCATCCCTGTTATACAGATGGGAAATACAAGGCTTAAGGAATCACATCATTAGTAAGTGTTAGAACTAAGTCTGGAACATAAGACTATCCAGAGTTTAACGGTATTTAATGGTATACACAGACCCTTCAATTTTGGCTTGTACAAAGTAAGAGTCATCCCACTCCTCGACCTCCAAATTTCAGTCTTAACCTTAAATGAGTCCACAACAAATGCCATCCTGCTGTCATATCCTCCTTCAAGGTCCACTAAGTAACCACTATGGACTTGGTGCAGTCTGTCATTATTTCTTACCTAGAATGCAATTCTTACTCATTCTTTCCCTCTTCCTTGCACTAGGAGAGAAAAGCTATATATTCTCTTTTTAGTTTATTTTCTACTACATTTATATTGGATAAAAAGGTAGGACCTGAATGAGAAAACTTTAGTTTGGAACAGGCATAGGGTTTTTCTCAACTACCCTTTTCACTTGCATCTCTAGAATAATGTATTTTGTCTTCTTGTTTTCTAGGAATGTTTACCCTTGCGGAAGTTGCATCACTTAATGACATTCAGCCAACTTACCGAATCCTGAAACCATGGTGGGATGTGTTTATGGATTACCTGGCTGTTGTTATGTTAATGGTAGCCATCTTTGCAGGAACCATGCAACTTACCAAAGATCAGGTGGTCTGTTTGCCAGTATTGCCATCTCCTGTAAATTCAAAGGCACATACATCACCAGGAAATGCCGAGGTCACCACCAACATCCCGAAGATGGAAGCAGCCACCAACCAAGACCAAGATGGGCGGACAACAAATGACATTTCCTTTGGGACATCTGCTGTGACACCTGACATACCTCTCAGAGCCACATATCCTCGCACAGATTTCGCACTTCCAAGTCAGGAGGCAAAGAAAGAGAAGAAAGATCCAACAGGTCGAAAAACAAACTTGGATTTTCAGCAATATGTATTTATTAATCAGATGTGTTACCATCTGGCCCTTCCATGGTATTCTAAGTACTTTCCATACCTTGCTCTTATACATACTATTATTCTCATGGTCAGTAGCAACTTTTGGTTCAAATATCCCAAAACATGCTCAAAAGTAGAACATTTTGTTTCAATATTAGGAAAGTGCTTTGAATCCCCTTGGACTACAAAAGCATTGTCTGAGACAGCATGCGAAGACTCAGAGGAAAACAAGCAGAGAATAACAGGTGCCCAGACTCTACCAAAGCATGTGTCTACCAGCAGTGATGAAGGGAGCCCCAGTGCCAGTACACCAATGATCAATAAAACCGGCTTTAAATTTTCAGCTGAGAAACCTGTGATTGAAGTTCCCAGCATGACCATCCTAGATAAAAAGGATGGAGAGCAGGCCAAAGCCCTGTTTGAGAAAGTGAGGAAGTTCCGTGCCCATGTGGAAGATAGTGACTTGATCTATAAACTCTATGTCGTCCAAACAGTTATCAAAACAGCCAAGTTCATTTTTATTCTCTGCTATACAGCGAACTTTGTCAACGCAATCAGCTTTGAACATGTCTGCAAGCCCAAAGTTGAGCATCTGACTGGTTATGAGGTATTTGAGTGCACCCATAATATGGCTTACATGTTGAAAAAGCTTCTCATCAGTTACATATCCATTATTTGTGTTTATGGCTTTATCTGCCTCTACACTCTCTTCTGGTTATTCAGGATACCTTTGAAGGAATATTCTTTCGAAAAAGTCAGAGAAGAGAGCAGTTTTAGTGACATTCCAGATGTCAAAAACGATTTTGCGTTCCTTCTCCACATGGTGGACCAGTATGACCAGCTATATTCCAAGCGTTTTGGTGTGTTCTTGTCAGAAGTTAGTGAAAATAAACTTAGGGAAATTAGTTTGAACCATGAGTGGACATTTGAAAAACTCAGGCAGCACGTTTCACGCAATGCCCAGGACAAGCAGGAGTTGCATCTGTTCATGCTATCGGGGGTGCCCGATGCTGTCTTTGACCTCACAGACCTGGATGTGCTAAAGCTTGAACTAATTCCAGAAGCTAAAATTCCTGCTAAGATTTCTCAAATGACTAACCTCCAAGAGCTCCACCTCTGCCACTGCCCTGCAAAAGTTGAACAGACTGCTTTTAGCTTTCTTCGCGATCACTTGAGATGCCTTCACGTGAAGTTCACCGATGTGGCTGAAATTCCTGCCTGGGTGTATTTGCTCAAAAACCTTCGAGAGTTGTACTTAATAGGCAATTTGAACTCTGAAAACAACAAGATGATAGGACTTGAATCTCTCCGAGAGTTGCGGCACCTTAAGATTCTCCACGTGAAGAGCAATTTGACCAAAGTTCCCTCCAACATTACAGATGTGGCTCCACATCTTACAAAGTTAGTCATTCATAATGACGGCACTAAACTCTTGGTACTGAACAGCCTTAAGAAAATGATGAATGTCGCCGAGCTAGAACTCCAGAACTGTGAACTAGAGAGAATTCCACATGCTATTTTCAGCCTCTCTAATTTACAGGAACTGGATTTAAAGTCAAATAACATTCGCACAATTGAGGAAATCATCAGTTTCCAGCATTTAAAACGACTGACTTGTTTAAAATTATGGCATAACAAGATTGTTACTATTCCTCCCTCTATTACCCATGTCAAAAACTTGGAGTCACTTTATTTCTCTAACAACAAGCTCGAATCCTTACCAGTGGCAGTATTTAGTTTACAGAAACTCAGATGCTTAGATGTAAGCTACAACAACATTTCAATGATTCCAATAGAAATAGGATTGCTTCAGAACCTGCAGCATTTGCATATCACTGGGAACAAAGTGGACAGTCTGCCAAAACAATTGTTTAAATGCATAAAGTTGAGGACTTTGAATCTGGGACAAAACTGCATCACCTCACTCCCAGAGAAAGTTGGTCAGCTCTCCCAGCTCACTCAGCTGGAGCTGAAGGGGAACTGCTTGGACCGCCTGCCAGCCCAGCTGGGCCAGTGTCGGATGCTCAAGAAAAGCGGGCTTGTTGTGGAAGATCACCTTTTTGACACCCTGCCACTCGAAGTCAAAGAGGCATTGAATCAAGACATAAATATTCCCTTTGCAAATGGGATTTAAACTAAGAGAATACGTGCACAGCGATGTGCAGGAACAACTTCCTAGATTGCAAGTGCTCACGTACAAGTTATTACAAGATAATGCATTTTAGGAGTAGATACATCTTTTAAAATAAAACACAGAGAGGATGCATAGAAGGTTGATAGAAGACATAACTGAATGTTCAACGTTTGTAGGGTTTTAAGTCATTCATTTCCAAATTTTTTTTTTTCTTTTGGGGAAAGGGAAGGAAAAATTATAATCACTAATCTTGGTTATTTTTAAATTGTTTGTAACTTGGATGCTGCCGCTACTGAATGTTTACAAATTGCTTGCCTGCTAAAGTAAATGATTAAATTGACATTTTCTTACTATATCACCTTTTTTGAGGGGTCTTAATTTACTTTGCTTAATTGGTGCAATATTGCTTTCACTCAGATCACTAAAGACAGATACATCAAGTCCAAACTTGTAAATTTAGATTTGCTAAAATACTGATTGATTTCCTGTTTTAATTTAAAGTGCCTCAAGTAAGCACTCCTCACAATAGTTGACTGGTACTGCTGCTCCTGAGCACCTCGTGTCATAGGTTTTATACTCTTACAGACTTGGAATGCAGTAGAGGTATGTGGATTGTTAGGGGTTTTGTTTTTTAAGAATAAGTAGCAAGAAATAACACATTTCTTAATAGCTTTTTTGACATAGTTTGGCATTCCGATTATATGGTACATTTTTCTGCCAATAACATAGGGTTGCCAATAAATAGAAAATGTTTTCTAAAAATAAATTTTATTACAACAAAATAAAAATTTTAATGACTTATTAACAAAACCTGCAATATCACCACCATTTGGAAGATAACACAGAATCACAAGTATCATTTAATTTCTTGCCCTTCTCAGTGTTCTTCTGGTGTTGGTGGGAAAGTAATAGGAAACGTAGTTCATTGGGTAGGGAAACTCTTAACTGTCCCTATCTTAGTGACAAGCTGTATTTTCTATGTTTGCGTGCAGCTAGGAGGAGTCATAGCCAGACAAATGCTAGGAGAATACACTTTTTAGATAATGATTTCCTTCTTTAACTGACCAGTATCTAATCAATCTCAGAAAAATCAAAAAAATTCCCTGCCAGATGTTTCATAGGCCTCCTACAGGACTCTTTTCAAGAGAATAGAACAGTTTGGCACTCTGACAAAGCAGTGTCCTCTCGCTACAAAACTGGACTCACTTAAACACTGGACTTTTGTCACTTCTAAGCACAACTTGAAGGATTTTGCAGAGAATGGGCAAAGATGGACTCGTATCTTTGCTTTCTTCCCCAGAACTGAACTCTAGGAGTGCTGGTCTGTGGCCAATGGAGGTGAATCTTGGCCTGCAGTAGAGCCTGTGAATGCTCTGAGAAGTATTTTCACAAATAGAAAAGGCTGCAGCCCCTGTAGCTGAGTTAGGAATTGATGCTGGCTCTGGCACCCTGGCCATTCCTTCTCCTCCTCAAAGGCTTGAGGTAGGGGGCTAGCTTATTAAACATTTTTTAAGCTTAAGTTTGAATAATCAGACAAAAAGCAATGGCATATTTTCAGTACAGCAAATTCTCTTCTATGCATCTTCCAGTTGTCTCAGCATTCATTAATGGATTCACTAGTATTAATGATGTACCTTGGTGCCTTTCTAATACAAAGAACTAGGGATTCAGTGTTGGAATAAGTTCTGGCCACATGGAGGTTTATCTAGTAAAGTAGAGAGATAAATATTAATTATGTAAATAATAGAAGTGTTTAATTACAATTATAGAAGGTGTAGGTCAGGTGCAGTGACTCACACCTATAATCCTAGCACTTTGAGAGGCTGAGGCAGGAGGATGGCTTGAGCCCGGGAGTTTGAGAACAGCCTGGGCAACATAGCAATACCCCATCTCTACAAAAAAGTTTAAAAATTAGCTGGGCATGGTAGCATGCACTTGTAGTCCCAGCTACTTGGGAGGCTGAGGTGGAAGGATCACTTGGGCCCAGGAGTTCGAGGCTGCAGTGAGTTATGATCGTGCCATTGTACTCCAGCCTGGTGATAGAGCAAGACCTTGCCTCAACCAAACCAAAAAAAGTGTACAAAATCTGTGTAAATGAATAATGGCGGGGGTGGAGTGAACTTAAAGAAGCGCTTCAGGGAAGTTTTGTACTTGTAAACGGTCCTGAACATTTCCCTTCCACCAGCCATGTGGGGCGCTGTTCTCCCTGCTTGGTAATGCCACCGCCTGAAATTAGCACAGTATTTTTAGAAGGATGCCACTCCATCTTAGTTGTGAGATAAGGAGTCCAGATCTTAGGATCTTTGCTTTTAGGACTGGAAAACTTGTCTTCCCTTTCTTAAAACAAAACAAAACACCTTATTGAAGTATAACTGGTATATAAAAGGCCCTACATATGTAAGGCCTTTACATATATACCTTAAATATGGTAGCAAACTGCATATCAATGAGCTGCCTTTCTTAAAACAAGTGTATGTTGTTTTTGAAGGGCAGGTGTGGCAGGACGCCACAGTTCACTTTGCTTTTCAGAGAAGAGCCATTCTGTAGGAACCACAATCTATGAGATAATCCCTAAATTTGGCCACTGGCAGCTCTGCCCATAGGCTCCTGTTTCCTAAACACTACTTGGGGTTCAGTCACTTAGAACTGGTTGGTGTTAGATGCCTTCAAACAGTATCAAGGGGTACCTCTTCTCTTACCCAAATTGCTGTTGACTATCAGCCCTTACTGATTTCCTTGAACTCTGAAAAGTTTAGGGTCAGTTGATTTAAATGCCACATTCCATGCCACTGTTTGCAAATAAGAATACTCTAAAAGAGAGTTCCTGAGAAATGCTGACTCATTTAACAGACTTTAAATGTACTGAGTTTTGATGCCTCAACAACAGAAAAAGAGTTGTGGGCCCAAATAGACTGTCAACCTATGTGTCCTCTTGAATTTATGTTGGCATCGCTTGGACCAGACATGGGAGAAAAACAAGTTAGTATGTATAAGATTTGGCTTAATATTTTCATATCTTTCCATGAAGTCCCTTGAGCAATCTGAAAAAGAGTATTTAAAGTCTGTTTTTAAATATGCCATATCTGGGTGAGTCTCACAAAGTCTGAAAGAACTTGGTTTGCTTGTGGCTGTTTAATTTTTTCTCACTAGCAGTCAGTTGGCTTGACAAAGAGGATTGACTTTTTTAAGGGTTCAGAAAGATGAGCCGAAATTGTCACAGGGACTTCATTCTTAGTAGTACAGATTTAGGAATTTAATAGTAGGCAGGAAGAGTTCATTCTATAATTCATGGCTGGCAAAGTCCTGACTGTTTGATGTTTTTTTAATATAAAGAAAGAAGTCATATTCTTTCTTAATATCTGTAATACTTTCTCTGTCTCTCCTGGTCTCTACTTCAACCAGTAACCAAACTCTCTAAGTTGCTGATGGCAGCAAACTCCAAAGTGCCCTTGAGGCCAACGCCCAATAGTTATTTCCATTCACCTTGTTGAATAAAAGCCAGAGTACTGTCCTCTTGCTAAGATTTCTGGCAGCACTTGCGTCAGTAATTCATTCCAATAAAATGGTCCCTTTATCAACTGAATCCCCAAACAAAGGCAGTACTAACAAAAAGCTCCTTTCATGAAAAATAGAAGGGGGGAAAAAAGAGCAAGCCCCTGGAAACCAGTTTTCAAAAGTCCTCTAACTTGTGACTGCAACACGAAGAAGTGGCCCCGTCTGATCCTGGCCAGCTGCAGCTCTCTTAAAGCAAGGGCTCCGGGTATTCAAGGTGGTATCCGCTGGGGCATAGGGAAGGCTGAAGCCAAGGGGGCAGAAGAGCAGCAGGCCAGGAACCATCTGCCCCTCAAGCCTGGCCTAGCCTAGCCTGGGGTGACAGTCACAGCTGAAATCATGGAAATAAGTCCCTTCACTCACAAAGCCAATAGCAGATGTCCATTCTTTATCCTTGTGTCTCTGGACATAAAACGTATAAACTGTTCCAGGTAAGCATCGCCTTTCTTGTGGAAATTCATGGGATTATTTGCTGAGAGTTAATCCCGAAAAGTTTCATTCCACAGTCTCATCCACCCCCCTCCCACTGCTGTGGGACCCCTGATGGTAGAAAGTTCCCCAGCCCCACCTGCTGTCACTGTCAGCTGTCCTTCCTTCACTCCTAAGATTCCAGGCTCTGGAGTGAGAGTGCCTGGGTTTGAATCCTGCCTTGGCCCCAGCTGTGTGACTGTGCGGAAGCTACTTACCTAAGCCTCAGTTTTTTTACTGTAAATGGGAATAGTCATAGTACCTACCAAATGGGTTTTATTGTGTGTGACAATTGAATGAGGTGATTCATTTGAGGCACTGTGCCTGGCAGATAGTAAGTACTCAATAATACTGTTACTACTTTTATCCCCAGAGACCGTTGGCCTTCCCTAATATGCATTCTCTCCTTCCTTGGTAATGGAATTTTCAGTGGACACCTGGAACACAATAAAATGTGTATTTTTAAAAGCCAGGCAGTGGTCCTTGCCTGTAGTCCCAGCAAGTGTGAAGACTGAAGCAGGAAGATCACTTGGGTCCAGGTGTTCCAGTCCAGCTTGGGCAACACAGCAAGACCCTGATTCTTTTTAGAAAACAAAACAGGCCAGGCATGGTAGCTCACACCTGTAATCCCAGCACTTCGCGGGGCCAAGGCGGGTGGATCGCTTGAGGCCAGGAATCCGAGACCAGCCTAGCCAACAGGGCAAAACCCTGTCTCTACCAAAAATAACAAAAATTAGCTGGCGCAGTGGTGCATGCCTGTAGTCCCAGCTACTCAGGAGGCTGAGGCAAGAGGATCCCTTGAGCCCAGGAGGTAGAGGTTTCAGTGAGCGGAGATTGGGCCACTGCACTGCAGCCTGGGTGACAGAGCAAGGCCTTGTCTCAAAAAAACAAAATGAAAACTATTTTCTAGGCTTCCTTGGGGCTAGATGTGCCATGGGGCTAGGATTTAGTTAAATTCTAGCCAAAGGAGTGGGAATGGAAGTGGAATGTGGGATTTCTGGATTAGGACCTTAGAGGAAGGGCATATCCTTCCCCGTTCCTGCTGTTTAAATTGCACAAATAGAAATAAGCCCAATTTAGACTGTGCAGATCAGGGCAACAAATCAGATGTGGCACAGCAGCACAATAAAAGTCTGGGCCCCTGGCAACTTCAAGAAACAGGGTCATATAAAGGAGAAATAAATCTGTGTCCTGTTTAAGCCACAATTCGGGGACTCTGATAAATGCAACAAATCCTAAAAACCTTGCTACTCAAACCCGTGGCTGGATAGCCATAGCAGCACTGGGGGCTTGTTAGAAATGCAGAATCTCAGTTTCCTCCCCAGACACTGATAG